CACCTGCTCTGACTATAAAAATGGCCGCACATTTAAAGTCCTTGCTTGGTTGCTAATTCCCAGGGCAGCTGGGGGATTCGCTGGAGGCTCATGCGCCCACACGCCGTTCCCTTAAAGAGGCGCTTTGCCTCGTAGGATCTCCTCCCCACCACGCTCAGCTTTGCGAATCTTCCCTACTTATGGATGGAGCAAAACTAGCAAATCCTAAACGTTACAGTCCTCTGGGGGGCGGGGGAGACTTGGCTCTGTTCTTTGTCACAATATTGAACACGAGTTGCTATTTACAGTAATGAATCAAAATGTCAGCTATAAAAATACGGAGTGTCAGAGCGCTCCTGCTTCGCTCAAAAAAGTTTGATTTGACAGTTTGTTAATCATACGATGATTAAACGTGTTTCGCGGCGTTGACTGCCCAGGTCTTCCTTCCTTCTTTCCTTCTCACCACCAACCCTTCCCCTTCCCTCCCTCCTTCTCTCTGCTGTTAAGCCATGGTTGGCCATCCCCGGGGGCTGATGGGATTTGTAGTCCATCAGAATCTGGAAGGCGCCAGGCTGGGGCGGAAGGCTGCTGCTGCAGCGATAGCTGTGTGACAGAAGAGCCTTGTTCTCAACTTTACTTGGCTTCATTTGGCTCTCGCTTGGACCTCTGGCCCTGTTTTCCTGCCCACCTCGCTTTCCCACCGACTCATTGCAGAGATTGTGCAGACTGGGGAGCGGCTGTGGGCAGGTGTGCAATTAGCAAGGCATGAAATTCAAAGTCCCCCCGGCGCAAGCAGGGAGAATCGCTGGCTGCCAAGCTCCTTATATTGGATAATTAAGGCGCATGCAAGAGAGCCTCTTCACCTCCTCTTTCCAGCAGTCCTGGCCCAGGTGGTATTTAACTAATAGAAATGCCTTTTTCTCCCGCAACCTCAACCCCAACAGGATCTGGGTTTTGAATTCCGCCTGTGCCTCAGTAAATCCGCATTTTGGACAGTGATGAACCCTTCGGTTGACAATTCTGGCAATGTTTTGAGGCCTGGGAGGGAATCGATGGGCAGGGAGGATGAGTTCTCTGCCTCAGAGAACTCATTGTACCTTGTCATCAGCGTAACAAAGGATTCGGGCCCATAAAGGTAAAGGGACCCCTGACCATTAGGTCCAGTCGTGGCCGACTCTGGGGTTGTGGCGCTCATCTCGCTTTATTGGCTGAGGGAGCCGGCGTACAGCTTCCGGGTCATGTGGCCAGCATGACTAAGCTGCTTCTGGCAAACCAGAGCAGCGCAAGGAAACGCCGTTTACCTTCCCGTCGGAGCGGTACCTATTTATCTACTTGCACTTTGATGTGCTTTCGAACTGCTAGGTTGGCAGGAGCAGGGATCGAGCAACGGGAGCTCACCCCGGTGCGGGGATTCGAACCACCGACCTTCTGATCAGCAAGCCCTAGGCTCTGTGGTTTAACCCACAGCGCCACCCGCGTCCCTTATTCAGGACCATAGAAAGCCCCTAAAACAATACAGCAGGATCCTGAAAGGCAGAGCGTAAATCCAGCCCGTCCCCTGACCTTATCTTCAGAGGCCCTTCTGGGTGTGCCACGTCCCATGCAGAGCCATCTGGTGGCAAAGATGAGGCCTGATGAGGAACAGTTGAGGGAAGTGGGTAGATTTAGCAGCCTGGAGAAGAGAAGGCCGAGAGGTGAAACGAGAGCCGTCTTCAGATAGCTTCAGGGCTGCCACATGGAAGGTGGAACAAGCTTGTCTCCTGCTGCTCCAGGGGGCAGCCAGTGGATTCCAATTGCAAGAAAAGCGGCGAACCGCATGTGCATTGTAGGAAACCTGCAAGCAGGATTTGAGCACAAGAGAGCATTTTCTCCCTTCCTGTGGTTTCTGGCAACTGGTATTGAGAGGCATAGCTGCCTCCAGCTGTGAAGACTGAGCACAGCCATCCTGGCTAGTAGCCACTGGTAGTAGTAGTAGTAATAATAATAATAATTTGTTATTTATACCCCGCCCATCTGGTTGAGTTTCCCCAGCCACTCTGAGTGGCTCCCAACAGAATTAAAAGCACAATAAAACACCAGACATTAAAAACTTCCCTAAGCTGGGCTGCCTTCAGATGTCTTTTAAAAGTCAGATAGTTGTTTATTTTCTTGACATCTCGTGGGAGCGTGTTCCACAGGGCGGGTGCCACCACTGAGAAGGCCCTCTGCCTGGTTCCCTGTAACCTCGGCTTTTCACAGGGAGGGAACCAACAGTAGGCCCTTGGATGTGGACCTCAGTGTCTGGGCTGAATGATGGGAGTGGAGACGCTCCTTCAGGTCTACTGGACCGAGGTCATTTAGGGCTTTAAAGGTCAGCACCAACACTTTGAATTGTGCTCGGAAATGTACTGGGACCCAATGTAGGTCTTCCATATTCTCTTCCTCCATGAATTTGTCTAATCTGCTTTCAGAGCCATCCAAATTGGTGACCATCACTGCCTCCTGAGGTCAACAGGTCGCAGTTCTCCTGCAGCCTGAAAGCAATCCTGGATAAAGATTGCTTCCAGAATTCATTTGTTGCAGATTTACCTCCCTCTTGCGATCAGATTAATATTGAATGGTTATCATTTCTGTCAAAATCAAACTCCCCAAATCTTGCACTAACTGACATCCCCACCGTAAATGGTATTATGTACCAAGTTTATTGCAAATCCTCCAAACAATTTTGTGGTGCCGAAGAAAACATTTTTGACATTTGCAAAGAAGACCTATATACCATCTGTGTTAATAATCCTAAGGAGTCTTCCCCAAGAAAACGTATTCGTGATGTTCCATTATGTTATTTTTATCTTTTGTTTGTAAGCCGCTTTGGGATTTATTTGAATAAACAGCAGCATTAAAATAAAATAAAACAATTCTCAGTCCTTGTGAAATACACCCAGGACAGCTAACAAGGAGGGGGGAGACGCAATGATCCTGCCCCTCGAACGAGTCTTTGCTTCTAAGTCAGGTGGGGCCACAAGGAATTTGCCCAAAATCTGAAGTCCAAAGGATGGGGACTTGAATGCCAAAGCTCTTTCTCGCCTTTTTGGTGAGAATTTGAAATTTAAAGGCAGCTGATATAAACTTTTTCAAATAGGAAAATATGTTATTGCAAAAAGGGGGAGAGAATTACAAACAAAATGCAACATTTCATCTATATATGTAAACATAATTTTGTATTATAAAGTGTTCTGTTCCTGTGCAAGAAGTCAATTATGGTCGGAAGAGGGTTGTATGGAATTAATAGCTTAGGCAGACTTGGTTACAATTACGTTTTTAAGCAAGGCATCCAACTGTATGAGTTAAAATTATGCACAAGGTTGGACAATGTCTCCGAGTTTTATATTATAGTAATTAGCAAACAGACTCGTTTCCCCCATAAATTTGAAAGGCTGTTTGCGCATTTTAAGGCCACAACTTGGGACTTTCGCCTGTCCCACAGCATCTATTGTATTGTCCTTTCCTGGGTAGTCTGCAAATTGTCTCTCCTCCACCCTAGACAGATTCTTTCTTCAGCCTTCTGCAACAAATTCCTCTCCTTGATACCAAGCAGGTGAAGGCAGCAAAATCATTTTTCTCCTGGTTTACTTAATTATGTCCATGGCTACTCTGTGGTGGTTAACATCAGCTGAATTGTGGCGCTGTGGGTTAAAGGAGTGCCTTCAAATATTGCCAGATTAAGGTCACATCCTCGGTGCTACACGAATATTTGTCCTCTCTTCCCACATCCCACTTGCCAAACACAAGCGGCACAAGCACACCCAAAAATGAAGCGTTGGCCAAGATGCTCTTTTGTTTTCTTTTCCTTGGCATCTCAGTAACCTAGCAGAAAGGGGACGCGGGTGGCACTGTGGTATAAACCACAGAGCCTAGAGCTTGTCGATCGGAAGATCGGCGGTTTGAATCCCCGCAACGGGGTGAGCTCCTGTTGCTCAGTCCCTGCTCCTGCCAACCTAGCAGTTTGAAAGCAGGTCAAAGTGCAAGTTGATAAATAGGTACCGCTCCGGTGGGAAGGTAAACGGCGTTTCCGTGCGCTGCTCTGGTTCGCCAGAAGCGGCTTAGTCATGCTGGCCTCATGACCCGGAAGCTGTACGCCGGCTCCTTCGGCCAGTAAAGCGAGATGAGCGCCGCAACCCCAGAGTCGGTCACGACTGGACCTAAGGGTCAGGGGTCCCTTTACCTTTTTACTGTTTAAGGATCACCTTTTGGTTTACCTGCAGGTACACAACTCTTCACATTTCCACATGAGTTCGTGATTTTAAACAAGACAAACTCATGGAAACCCATCAGTGTTTTCGTCCTACTTTCTTCCGATAGGCACAATTTCCTATGCAATTACCATATTTTTTGCTCTATAAGACTCACTTTTTCCCTCCTAAAAAGTAAGGGGAAATGTGTGTGCGTCTTATGGAGCAAATGCAGGCTGCACAGCTATCCCAGAAGCCAGAACAGCAAGAGGGATTGCTGCTTTCACTGCGCAGCAATCCCTCTTGCTGCTCTGGCTTCTGAGATTCAGAATATTTTTTTCCCTTGTTTTCCTCCTCCCAAAACTAGGTGCGTCTTGTGGTCTGGTGTGTCTTATAGAGCGAAAAATACGGTATGTACTTTTGCAGGCTGTTTGATAGACTGCAATGCATTTTTTTTTTTTGCCTGTTATTTTCACTAATCTATGGATTTATCTGCACACTTTACCCAACCCAGTGCATGCATTTTTTGCTGGAGACCTGCATTGTGAAATTCAGAGAATGGCAAATTTCAAGGGATTTTGTTTCGTTTCTCATATCGTTTCAGGAAGTGTGCGGCCGATAGGTTCAGCTTTGGCCCCGATCCAATGCAGAACCAGGCGTGCTCAAGCCATTTGATTCTGACAGGCTGGAGTGTGTCTTGCTCTCTTCTGGATGACACCCAGGGGCTAGTAAACATGGATCCCCAGAGCATATTTTTGTTAACAGGCTCCTTCATCATGGAGCATTTTCTCCCCTTTCAATTTTTTCATTTTTGCAAAGCAGTTTCACATCATGATGAACGGCCTTGGGTGGCCAGTGGTTATACACCAGGCCACCGGGATGGACTTCTGTCATCATAGCCACTCTCCTTTCTTGGAAGCTGCAAAACAACAAAACAACTCTCTTTTTTTGCAGTTTGCATGTGAGGCAGAAGGAAAATAAAAAACCCCGAACCTGACCACAATCAATTTCAGATTCAAGGAGTTTAAAGTTAATTTTCTTTGTTGAGGTTGCAGCCTCTGAGACCGGAGTTTTCTGGGCGGCAAGAGAGTTGCTAAGAGATTTCTGGCTGGGGAAAGCAGTTTCTAGGATGCAGGATTACAGGAGGCTCCCTTGCACTGAGTCAGACCATTGGTCTGTCTTGCCTAATGTTGTCTACACTGACTGGCAGCTGCTCTGCAAGAGTTCAGACAAGGGATTTTCCCTGACCTACCTGGAAATGCCAGAAATTCAACCCAGGGCTTGTTGCTCTACGGCTACTTAGTTTGTGTGTTTGTGATGAACACCAGAATAGCCCTGCTGGATCTAGCATCCTCCCAGTGGCCAAACCAAATGCCTCTGGTAAAACCCACAAGCATGACCCATGTGCAAATGGTATACAGAGGTGCGCTGCCTCTGATAGTGGAAAGATAACATAGCCTTCATGTCTAGTGGCTGTCGAAAGCCTCATCCCCCATGAATTTTGTCTTTTCAAGGCTTCCAAGTTGCTGGCCGCTGCTACGTCTTGTGGCAGGGAGTTCCACAGCTTAACTATGTGCTGTGTGACCCCCTGGACCAGAGCACTCCAGGCACTCCTGTCTTCCACTGCCTCCCACAGTTTGGTCAGACTCATGTTTGTAGCTTTGAGAACACTGTCCCACCATCTCGTCCTCTGTCGTCCCCTTCTCCTTGTGCCCTCCATCTTTCCCAACATCAGGGTCTTTTCCAGGGAGTCTTCTATTCTCATGAGGTGGCCAAAGTCTTGGAGCCTCAGCTTCACAATCTGTCCTTCCAGTGAAAACTCAGGGCTGATTTCCTTAAGAATGGATACGTTTGATCTTCTTGCATGGGACTCTCAAGAGTCTCCTCCAGCACCAGAATTCAAAAGCATCCATTCTTCGGCGATCAGCCTTCTTTACGGTCCAGCTCTCACTTCCATACATCACTACTGGGAAAACCAGAGCTTTAACTATACGGACCTTTGTCGGCAAGGTGATGTCTCTGCTTTTTAAGATGCTGTCTAGGTTTGTCATTGCTTTTCTCCCAAGAAGCAGGCGTCTTTTAATTTCGTGGCTGCTGTCACCATCTGCAGTGATCATGGAGCCCAAGATAGTCTCCTATTTGTGTTTTCTAAAAAGCCCCAGATGTTGTAACTTTTCCTCCTAGGAAAGCTGCTCCATCCCTTGATGGCTTGGGCTGCCTTTTCAAATCCTTTGCAATGCTCTTTTTGAGGCAAGGCTGTGGACGTAGACCAGAGGGCCACTAATATTTATTTATTGAATTGCTTTCCCTCCCTTTTCCTCCCAGAAGCTCAAATTGTCATAAATGGTTCTCCACCACTTCCTCATTCAATCCCAGCAGCAACCCTGTGAGGTAGGTTAGGCTGAGAGGCAGTGACTGGCCCCCAAGCTCACACCCAGGGAGAGAGCTTCATGGCCCAGTGGGGGGATTTGAACCCAGGTCTCCCTGGTCCTAGTCAAACCCCCCCAAACATGGCGACTCTCCATTCTATTCCAGTCTTAACACACACACCCTCCTCTGCTGCAGAGGGACAGCCCAGCTCACAACTGATCATAGCTGTCAACATTTTCCTTTTTTTAAGGGAAATTCCGAATAGGATTCCTCGCCAGAAAAGGGGAAAGTTGACAGCTATTCAACTGATCCTGTCTCCAGATCGGCCGTCCCAAAGCTCCAAGCCCCTCTTGTCCCGACTTGCGCCTTAGCGTGCCACGAGTTTTGCCCAGCCGTGCCAAAACCTCCAGAACCATAGGGAGGAAAACTATTTTCAAATTCATTTTGCCGCTGCTAAATGGCTAAACACATTGCCCTGTGTTGCCATTTGCAGATGCGAAGGCAGCTCTGGCGGAGAGTGGCTGCTTTCTCTTCTATTTTACCCATATTAGGAGAGGCGATTTTGCTGCTCTGGTTCATTTTCTTCCCAAACAATTTACGGCGGTTTAGTAGCAATCGAGGCTCCCCGCTGCGAGGGCTTGTTTTGCTTCCCTAAACTGGGACAATTTGAGCTCTGAGCTTGGCAAGGCGTCCTCCTTCCTCCGGTTTTCAATCTCTGTTTCAACATCTTTTGCAACCCTTTTGTGTTCCTTTGAGCTGGCAAAGGCTGCAAGCAATGAAGAGAAATGCCTTCTCTCCCTGGCCCCCCCAAAACCCCACTCACCCTGTATCCATGCCTTTTCTCATTGCAGTGCAGAGGGGCCGCAGGACAATGTTGTTGCAACAGAGGCATGCGATGGAGATATGGGAAAAATTGGGTCTGCGCCTTCCCTGGGGTGCTGCAACCAGCTTGCGGCATGGAGAGTTTGGGAAGAACGTTAACTAGCTGCAGAACTGCCGAGGTGATAAAAGGCTGTGCCAGGGCCAAAGCAGATATAACTTTTTAAAGCAGTAAGGCCAGGTTTGAGTCAATTCAGGGTGGGTGGGTACATAGATCAGGGGGTCAGGATCCAAGCAGAATGCATTAGCTGCAACAGTGCAGACTAGCTGCCCCTGATCCCTATCACTGTTTTGCATTTCAATTAAAGGGTGTTTTGTTTTAAAACTCATAAGGCAGATAAATGCAGTGCTTCTTGCTCAGGTCCCTGCTTGCGGGTTTTCATCTGGTTGGTCGTTGTGAGATATGGATGCTGGACTCGATTGGACCAGGGGGCCTGATCCTGCAAGGCTCTTCTTGCATTTGTAATCCTTGACTCTCGGTGCTAAAGGTTGCAGATCAGCAGATTGACATCCTGAGTTGGGGGGCGGCGTGTATTCCCTTCCACCCAATTCCTATCCGCCCCACCTCCGAGATGCTTCGAGGCTTCCAGTACAGATTTTGTCAGATGAAACTGTTCCCGTCCGCCTTCTTCCCCAAACTGGGTTTCAGATCCAAGTCTCGATTGCTTGCATTTCCATATTAAGCCAGAGTTCAGCCTTGCTGCAACGGGCCACTTCCCCAGTTGGGAGCCCCTCCAAACCGCAGCGAGATTTTCCCTCCTCCACAGACGGGGTTTTGCTTTCCAGTCCGTTCTCTCTGCTTCCTAAAACGCAAGTTTCATTTCTGTGTCCTTCGGCACTTCTAGAAAGTAAAGAGAGAGGGGTGTGGAGGGGAGGAACTAGCCCAGGAATCTATGACCCCACCAAACTAGCTGCCATTGCTTGTGGGCAGTGAGGAGACTCAAACCCCTTCCAGCAGCTGAGCTTCAGCAGGCCTGTGTGTGTGTTTTTGTGTTTTTCTGAGTGCCAAATCCAGGCAGAAGCACAGACTTGCTCAAAATTTAAGTCTGCGGTGGGTCTTTGTGGAATATGGGCATTTCATGGAATCCTAGAGTTGGAAGGGACCCTGGGGTCATCTAGTCCAACCCCCAGCCCTGCAGGAATCACAACTAAAGCATTTGTGACACATGGCTGGTATGTCCCCCTTCTGGCCAAAGGGGGGAAGTTCAGGGGGAACCAGCCACTCCAGCCAAATAAGGCTTCTAATCTTGATAGGCTGGAGTTGGTCAGGTGATGCTTCTTGACCCCTCTCAAGGTTCCTGGGTCTGAACATGGTCGCTCATTGGAACAAATAGGGCTGGATGCACCTCATACACTGTGGTGTAAGTTGGAAGGTATCCTAAGCATCATGTAGTCCAGGCATCCCCAACCTTTGGCCCTCCAGATGTTTTGGACTACAGTTCCCATCATCCCTGACCACCGGTCCTGTTAGCTGGGGATCATGGGAGTTGTAGGCCAAAACATCTGGAGGGCCAAAGGTTGGGGGTGCCTGATCTAGTCCACCCCCTGCAATGCAGAAATCACAACTAAAGCATCCATGACAGATGGCCGTCCAACCTCTGCTTAAAAAGCTCCAAGGAAGGAGAGTCTACCACCTTCTGAGGGAGTCCGTTCCTCTGTTGAACAGCTCTTACTGTCAGAAAGTTATTCCTGATGTTTAGTCAGAATCCCTTTTCTTGTAACCTGAAGCCATTGCCTCGAGTCCTACCTTCCAGAGCAGGAGAAAACAAGCATGCTCCATCTTCCATGGGGCAGCCCTTAAGATGTTTAAAGATGGCTCTCATATCTTGAAATATACTTGGAGTCGAGAGTGGATTTCATGCTCTTTGTTCAGCTCATAGTGGTGAGGAGGAATGGAAGTTCCCCTGAAATGTCTGCTTTATATACATTATTTACACAATGGCCCCCACATGATTGGCTAATTCCGAGATTTAGCTGTAGGCCAATCAGGTTGCGGATTCACTTCCACCTGGAGCTGGATTGGGTGGCTCCTGTGGACCAATCAGACTGCTGCATTCTGGACCCTGTTGTTCTAGGACCATCAGACTGCTGCATTCTGAATCCTACTGTTCTAGGACCAATCAGACTGCTGCCTTTTGGATCCTATTCAACTCAGTACATAACATATCTCCTCTCAGCCTCCTCTTTCCCAGGCTAAACCTACCCAGCTCCTTCAACCATTCCTCATCAGACTTGGTTTCTAGGCCCTTGATCATCTTGGTCACCCTCCTCTGCCCACTTTCCAGCTTGTCAACATCCTTCTTAAATTGTGGTGCCCAGAATTGGACGCAATATTCCAAGTGTGGTCTGACCAAGGCAGAATAGTACTATGACAGAATTCGAACTCCTACTTGATTATTATTATTATTATTATTATTATTATTACCCAGCCCATCTGGCTGGGTTTCCCCTGCCACTCTGGGCAGCTTACAGCATATATTGAAATATAATAAAACATCAAACTTGAAAGGTGGGTGACCTTGGGGTAGTTCCTGCCTCTCTGCCTCTCCTACCTCACGGGGGTTTTGTGGGGATTAATGACAAGCAGGAATACCATGTGTGCCATCTTGAACTCTCTGGATCAAAGGTGGGATATATGAATGCAATAAATAAGTGAGAAAATCCCACCCACCCCGGGAAAAAAAGAATCATGAGAAGTGTAATTTACTTCCTACACAGGTACAATTCCCAGCACCCTCAGCAAACTACACTTCCCAGGAGTCTTTGGGTCTGTGTGTTTGGTGAGTAGAGTGGTACCTTGTTTCTCAAACACCTTGGTTCCCAAATGCCGAAAACCCAGAAATGAGTGTTCCGGTTTCTGAACGTTTTCCAGAAGCCGAACGTCGGCTATTGTTTCCGGGGCGCCTGCACCAATCAGAAGCTGTGCCTTGGTTTTTGAACATTACGAATGGACTTCTGGAATGGGTTAAGTTTGGTGCTTTTGTTTCTGCTATTTATTTTGCGTTTTTCTTTTTTGAGGTTTTTTCAGTTAATTTGTTTTTGTGACTGTGCGAAACCCAGTTCAGCTACTGATTGATTGATTTGTGACTGCGGAAATGGATAAAAGCCCCCCATCCAAACAATGACTATCATCAGTGCAGGGAAGGGGGGGGGGAATCAAATTTTCATTTTTATCATCTCCAATACGGTCTTATTTATTTTATAGTGCTGTACATTGATTATTGCTTTCATTTTATGGATCAATGGTCCTGCTAGTGAAATTCATGTTAAATTGCTGTTTTAGGGGTTGTTTTTAAAAGTCTGGAATGGATTAATTCATTTTGCATTACATCCTATGAGAAAGCATGCCTTGGTTTTGGAACGCTTTGGTTTTGGAACGGACTTCCGGAAGGGATTAAGTCTGAGAACCACGGTACCACTGTATACAGCCTAAGAGAGATGGATGCAGACCAGCTTTTGCCTTCAGCTGTTTCTCATGTGCCCATTTTAATGAGCGATCTCTCCTCCAGCGATTACTCAACCTTTGACGGCTGGCGGGCTGGAAGTGTGAGCTGACTGTGCTGCGTTATCAGTATTGCACTTGAGCCGACGCTGAGCGGGGCGAAAGGTTTCTATATGTGGCGCGTGGTCTGAGACAACTCATCTTCACATGCATCTGATCCCCGGAGCCTGGCTCAGTCACATGCTGGGCATGAGTAGTGCCAGCCACGAGGAAGGACTGCTCAAAATGCACCCGGTAGCTTCAACCCTAGAGGAGGGTCACCCGTCCTCCAGCTGTTCGGCATCAATCTGAAAGTTGCCTACGCTCTGAACAGTGCTTTGGCATCCCATAATTTTTTAAAGGGATGTGCATGTGTACATCTCCCTCTATGAACCTGCCTGGGTGCTAAGATCATTGAGTGAGCAGCTTCTCACAGTCTCTCCAACATCGGAGGCACGGATGGTGGCGATGTGAGAGACAGGGCCTTTTCTTTGGGGGCTCCCAGGTTGTGGGATTCCCTTCCAAGAGAGGTTAGGTTGGCTCCCTCCTTGTTATCCTTCTGCCGACAGGCTGAGATCTTCCTCTGGAAACTAAGGCGCTGACAGTGCTGACCGCCGGGCTGCCGCCAAAGCACATTATATTTTACTTGCTGGTTCTAAAAACCTTGCACTTGTTGCTTTCATCATTCTATATTTTGCATTGATGTTTTTACATGCAGGCATCGTTTTATATGTACGCTACCATGCAGCAATTCAAGCCATGCTCAAGGCTGCTTACGACCTGGGAAAAATCCCTAAGTGCAATGTAACAAAAGTAGCCAAACACAATAAATGAAACATTTAAAAAATGCAGAACTGAAACAGTTTTTACATTTATCACAGTACCTAAAATGAAGATGGAAAATAGTGGAGAAGGCGGGCAGCAGGTCTTCCAGGACTCCCAACTGAGATGTTATGCCACCTTTGCATAGTTAAAACTGTGTTCAAGGTGGCTTACAACATGAAAACAAATACAGTGGTACCTTGGTTGTCGAACTTAATCCGTTCCGGGAGTGGGTTCGACTCCCAGAACGGTTCAAAAACCAAGGCATGGCTTCTGATTGGCTACAGGAACTTCCTGCACTCAAATGGAAGCTGTGGAAGCTGTGTTGGACGTTTGGCTTCCAAAAAACGTTCGCAAACCAGAACACTTACTTCCGAGTTTGCGGCATTCAGGAGCCAAAACATCCGAGTACCAAGGCATTTGACAACCAAGGTATGACTGTACGTATATAATAATAACAACAACAACAACAACAACAACAACAACAACAACAATTTATTATTGATACCCCGCCCATCTGGCTGGGCTTCCCCAGCCACTCTGGGCAGCTTCCAACAAAATATTAAAATACACTAATGCATCAAACATTAAAAGCTTCCCTAAACAGGGCTGCCTTCAGGTGTCTTCTAAAAGCCTGCTAGTTGTTGTTCTCTTTGACATCTGGTGGGAGGGAGTTTCACAGGGCAGGTGCCACTACCGAGAAGGCCCTCTGCCTGGTTTCTTGTAACTTGGCTTCTTGCAGTGAGGGAACCGCCAGAAGGCCCTTGGAGTTGGACCTCAGTGTCTGGGCAGAACGATGGGGGTGGAGACACTCCTTCAGGTATACTGGGCCAAGGCCTTTTAGGGTGTGCCACCTTGAATCACAATTTGGAGGAAAGGAAGGATATGAATACCTGAAATAGAAAAACAAAGAGCCATCCACGGAAGGCCCAGATTGTTGAGTGAGCTACAACAATGTGATGCTGAGGAGTAATTGGGTGATGGCTTAGTTGTAAATTCATTATGTTTGCTGACCCTAAATAGCATGGGGAACTAAGGGGGCATCTCTTGAAAAGCTTGTCTTGCCTATATCAATCCCCAAGGAGCCACAAGGCACCTCATTCCTTGCAAAGTTTGTGTCTCATTCCTTGCAAAGCGAATCTTGGCTGCGTTCGCCGTTGAGGAACGAACATGTGTCCACTTACGAGACTGTAGTTGTTGAATAAGCAGAAGCGGTTGTATTTAGAGTGAAACCACCGGGAACAAAGGGTCCCTCTTGAGTCTCTCTTGTTGGGGAGGCGGCCTGGCCGTTGCTGGCAAATGCTTCTCTTTTTCATGTGGCGCCTTTTAAGGGAGGCTTCCTGAAGGGTT